TTTTGATGATTGGATAAAAGCAGTCCACCTCTGTGTTTTCTCTCTGGAGCCTAAAATGTGAGTCTAAATTTGAAAAAGACCAAGCAAATCCCAATTGGGGGAACATGCTACAAACTATCTGACAGAACCCTACGAAACAGTTAAAAGTCATCAAAGCAAAGGTCTAAGGGCCAGGGGTTGCCAAAGAGGAGATAACTAAACGTAGCAGAGTATCTTAGATGGGCTCCTGGAAAAGGAGACAGGCATTCAGTAAACACGAAGGAAAGCTGGGTAGCCCATGGGCTTGAGGACCACAGTCCATGTTAGCATCTTTAAGTGATCTGAAGGAAGAACATTTCATCTCAGGAAGTCACCCTTAGGGAAGCAGAGGAAGCAAAGGCACTCTCAATGAAGGACAGCGTGGGAGAGGCAGCAGTCAGCCATCTGCCAATGCAGAAGTTCTGAAGGAAGTTCTCAGACAGACAGAGGTGATACCAGAAAATAAAAACATCAGGAACAAAGGCCAAAAAAATAACTCTAGGAATGGGAAGGGGGTAATGTGAAAACTAACTTTGACAAGATACATAGATAAAATGTAAAAGTGTAAAATGTTAATTATAGAGGAAATTCCTTCCGTTGTATGACTCAGTCAATATAAACTACTTTCAAAGTCTTTCTAAAAGCTTAGTTGAAAAAGATGAGTAATAAACTATATACAGTGAAATATATACATATACATATATATATATATCTGTGTGTGCATGGGTGTGTGGCATCTGTGTGTAGGGTATATATGTGGTATGTGTGCAGGTGTGTGATGGCAGAGGACAGCTTGTGTTCTGCTCTATCTCCTGTGTTCCTTGACATAGGACCTCCTATTTACCCTGGAGCTAGACTGGCAGCCAGGAAGTTCCAACCATCCTCTGGTCTCCACCCACTACAGCACTAAGATTACATGTGTGTATGGTCACCCTCAGCTCCTTATGTGAGTCCTGGAGATTTAGACTCATGTGGCCATGCTTGTGTGCAAAGTCGCCAGCCATGTGGGTGTGCGTGCGTGCGTGTGTGCGTGCGTGCGTGCGTGCGTGCGTGTGTGCGTGTGTGTGTGTGTGTGTGTGTATGTGTGTGCTAGGTGGTGGCACTCATAGGAGTTGTAAAAATAGTTTTATGTTCCCCAATAATCAACATAAACTGTCATATTTATGGTCAGGAGAACACATTGCAAAATTCACTGTCTTGATACGCTTCACTTTAGGCTCTTGGCAGAAACATTCCTTTAGGCAGAAACAGATTCCAGACTCCAGTGGCTTCATCTGAATATAAATTTGGCTCCCAGACTTTAATGTCTTAAAATCAAATAGATAAAAAAGAATTCCTCGAATATTCTAGAAAAAGAAAGTGCGACAGCTTATACCATACACTGTTTCAGCACTGACATCCAACTTGCTCAAAAGACTTAAGCCCCACATCACACATGTTCAGAGACAGCAGGAAAGACTGGGTGATTCTGATTGTGTGGAACGCATGGGGTTTCCAAGCACAAAGCTTCCTGCAATCGAGGCTATTGCAAAATGTCAGGTCAACATTGTTGTTCCTAGTGCTTCTGTCCCATTTCTCCATAAGCAAGGAATGAAGCCTATCCACAAGTGAGATATTGATTGCATTATGATGTTCTGAGTACCTCAGACCAAGAGGACTCGAATTTTAGTTGTCATCTGCCTGTGCATTGTCGGGAAGAAGAGACAGGCAGTGATTATTTCTCTAGTTTCCTCTTTCCTAGCTTCAGAACAGAAACTGCAGTAGATCTGTACTCATATTAGTTGGCTCGGAGTTTTGGTGGAGGGGGTCACATGATTCACCCTAGTTCAATCAGAGTGTTTGCACAAGATTTCCTCACAGTAGATGCTGGGGAATACCCAAGAACTAATGAGGACCATATTTCCAAGGCTTCCAAAGCAGCAGGAAGCAGAGCCCTGGGTTCCTGTTAGTCCAAAGCCAGCTTCCATGCTCTCATCCTGCGGACCCAGGCAGTCAGCTCCAGTTTTTACTCTTGGTTGCAAAAGGTGGCTTTCTGTAGGTTTCAGTCTCTTGCCCCTGCAGAGTCTGGAGCTGCAGAGTATAGAAGTCTAGTAGCTGGTGTGGAGGTACTGTGTTGAGAGGCGGTTAACTAAGCATTCTTTCTTCAGAGAGCCTCGGTTTGCAGGGAGGAGGAGGAATGTGTGGTGTATATTTTTGGTATTTTGTCATTTGTTTCCTATCTTGCCCTACCATGCGTGGATATAATTGTGCACTCACCTATCCCTCTTTCCCTGCTCTACAAAGTCAGGAATTTATTTTACTGCACCTTTAAGCTCCAGACCAAAGTATAGAGCCTGTACAGCACATAGTAGGTACTTATTAAATGTTAGTTGATTTCAAAATAAACTATGGTCATTTTTCTTATGATTCCAGCATTACCTCACTCCTTGAAACTTTATTAATTGGAAATTTGTAAGCAGGCTAGAAAATTAATTTATTCAAGAAAAAAGTGGCTATTAACTCATGGAGTGGTGTAAGAGACTGTAAAAAGAATGATTAAACTAATTAAGAAAATAAATTGTTTCAAGCAGGCCATAACCACTTAGTATCACCAATTCGTATAGAAATAATTTGTGGGCTAAGTTTCAAATAATAGTCCTCTACCTATTCATTAAATAAGGTCCCTGAGGATGTTTATTAAGTAACACTTTGTTAGGCTGGTTCATTTGTTATTTGCACTTGAAATATTCCATAAGTCAGCCCCTTATTAATGGGAAAGGTGACACCTGCAGTTATACACGGTTTATGTGAAAACATTAATTCTCTTGAAATCTACCAAAATATAATAATGAGTGAAACAAACCTAATAAACTTCTGGCTGATTTGTGTCTTATTCATTATTTAACTTCTTTAAGATATATTTCATTCCATTCATTTGCAGGGCAAATGCTTTGGGATACAAACTCCTGGCATCTATCTTCCCATTATTTTCTGATGCAATATTTATTGTCATTAACTATTGATTGGATGTGGATAGAACACAAAAGTCTAAGTCACCCCATATTCCTGAGTACTGACTGCCTTGAGCAGTGACCTTGAACCTAGGTTCTGAAACCCATGTTCATCTCAGCCTTTCCTTTCTCAGTCAGTGACAACTGCATTCTTCCACCCATTCAAGCCAAAATCCTGGAGGTCATTCTTAGAGCTCTGCCCCTTACCTCATATTTAGTTCACCAAATAATCCTACAGAATCAATCCCTAAATCCACCCCGGATGCAGGGCTGTGCCAGCCACCCCCACTGCGGCTACAGCCTCCTCACCTCTAGCTAAGGTACCACACTGATTTCCTAGGAATCAGAGAACTTAGTCACACTATTTAAATTATTTCCATCCCCACCTGGTTATTTATGTGAATGTGTTTCCCTAGTTCTTGCAAGGACAGAAACCACGAAGAACCAAAAATCAAACCACCAACAAAAACAAACAAAAAACTGCTATCAAGTTCTGTTTCATACAGATATCTTAACTCTTCTGTTTTGAGACAGTGCCTCATGTGGCCTAGGATGGCCTTGAACTTGCTGTTCAACAGAGGGTGACTCTGAACTCCTAATCTTCCTGCCTCCACTTCTTAAGTGCTATGATCACAAGTGTGCACCACCACGCTGGGCTCCGAATTCAAGTCTTCATGAATGAATTTCCAATAACAATGTATCTTAATGTTTGCCGGGCATTGATGGTGAACGCCTTTAGTCCCAGCACTTGGGAGGCAGAGGCAGGCGGATCTCTGTGAGTTCGAGACTAGCCAGGTCTACAAGAGCTAGTTCCAGGACAGCCTTCAAAGCCACAGAGAAACTCTGTCTCGAAAAAAACTAATAATAATAATAATAATAATAATAATAATAATAATATAATAATAATGGATAACATATTTACTTTGTTTCTATAGTTGTGCACAGCTACAGATGCCCGTTACTCAGCCAAGAAGAAAAGTTACACTAAAAGCATCTGGCCATCAGAAATTTTAAAACACCAAAACTTAAGTTCCCATGCCTGACTGCAGATGCTATATATAAGACGATGTTCCATGAAAGTCTTTCAATTATAGCACACATCACAACCTGGAGCTTCTGGGTTTACCCTGGACAACTAACACCTGGACAGTTCAGTAGCATTCAAAACAAACTTCTGCTTTGTAGACAATACTGTACTCAACCACTCAGCCTGCATGTTAACATTGATGCAAGGATACTGTCATCCAACCTAGGATAAAACCACAATGCACTAAGACCACATTCTCAGAGTGTAACTTAAGCAGAAAAAGAAACAACACTGTCAGTAGTAAAGGATTCTCCTAGTATTTTTTAAATGGTAACAGATCACTTCTCGAAATGCTTAGCCCTGGTATAACAGAGTTAAGTAAGTACACTCTAAAGACCCGCTGATCAACAGACTTGATTCTTGGGAGGGAGTGCTTGTCTAACTTGCAGGATTGGAGCTCGACATTTTTCTATGGACTCGCAGGCTAGACTGCAGTCAGGAAAGTCGACATCGCCAGCACGATACACTAGAACTGTGTACATTCACATATGGACAGATGGATGGATAGACAGATGTAGCGTCAGTTTGAATTAATGTGAATATTCTCAAGACCTAGGAATCTCAGAAAATAACGTTTACCATTAAGGTTTTCACCCAAACATCTTGGTTCCGTATAACTCAAACTTCAAGGTTAGGCATTCTGGAAACATTGGGATGACCACTAGAGGGAGCCCGTGTGTTTTCCTGAGTATGTGAAACACCAAAAACAGAAAAAGCTTACAAAACATAAAGCTGGACAGGAGAGAGGAGAGGGGCTGCAGCCGTTTCAATGAATGTCTTATTGACCGGCAGGTGCATCTTACGTTTATTCTACATACCCCCCTCACTCTGCAGCCGTCTTTCAAAATGCTTTGACACAAGAAAGGTAATTAGCCAATCATAATATTTTTTAAAAATTCACATACCCTAAAGCTAGAAGGTCCAGGGGAAAGCACTGTGATAGCATCCATAGTTCTCTGCCGTGCCCCAAATGAGCCTTCTGAAGCTTTTCTTACCATTCCTGCTTTCCTTCTCTATTCCGGATCATCTTTGTGGTTAACTTTGCGGGGAGGTTTGGGAGTGGCTTTCTCACTTTGTTTGGGATCCGGCTATCAAATTACACACTTGGTGTGACTTGGAATTTTTTTTTTTTCTTCTCCTGTCTGAGCCAAATGATGAGGGCATTAAAAAGAATGACTTTCCACTAGTCATCTTGAAATCTTCCTAGAATGGAAAACCGGGCCAGGTTTTAAACAGGATGACAGAGGACCTCCACTAGGAGATCTAGAACTGAGTTCATGCAAGCCAGACCCATGGGCCCAGCTCAGCCACCCCCATGCTAGATAAATGTCCTAGGTCTTTCTGACATAATCCCTTTACATTTAACAGCATTATCAAACTGTGTAATTAATTTCCTGTTAGACGTTTTCTTGGTATTGAGAGTTTTAATCACTCACTTACAAGGAAACTGAAACTCACAGAATTCCAGTTCATTACTGATAGCAATTAAGGGTCAAGGACACAAACTTTGATGGAGGCTCATTTCTGGAGACATGAATTCTAACATGTGAATGTCAAAGTCAATCTTATTTATATCCTCTGAGATAGAACTTTTCTGTTTTCCTTTCCCGCCAATTACAATTGAAAGCCTGTCGGGAGTACATTGAATGACTTCTCCTTGTTTCCCAAGTTTCTTTTTCATGTCTAGATACGGTAATTTTATAATGTATGCAAATAAATTAGCACAAACAAATTGAATTCTACAGGGTTAGGTCCTCGTCTGGATGCAGTTGGGCTTAACATGCTTATTAATGCTTCAGATACAGACTCAAAGACATTATTATCAAATTTAGCAATGACGCCCAATTGGGTGGGATGGCTGACAGTTAGGAAAACTGAATTGAAATTTTAAATGGCCTTGATGAACAGAAAAGGAAAAAGGGGGCAAAACTTAATAGAAATCTTTGTAAAATAATTTACTAAGCAAAGAACAAGAGAAGCAAGCAAGCACTGACTGCACAATTAGAAGAGAAAAGGGGCCAGAGGTCAGAGGAACAACAGGCTTCAGAGACATCAGTAACCTAATGCTGTCACTTTAAAAAAGAAGGCACGATTTTAGGAAAAACAAATGGGGAAATTGCTGAGCTAATTTCTCTCCTAGAGACAACTTATATCAATCTAGGAGAAAGGAATTTGCTTGGACCCCAACACCTATACCTTGGAAGGTTAGGTTTGGAAGGCAAAGGTTTAAAATTTATGGCTGATGATATTAACTTCATCAGACAAAGTTCTCAAACTCAGTTCCTTTGTCTATGTAATGCTCACAGCCTAGAACCTCCTTTCCCCTTCTACTTAAGACTTCCCTCTTTCTCCATGAAGATGCTCTGAGTCCCTTCTCCTCCCCCTAGGCACCTTACCCAGCCACACTGTGTATGATTCTACAAACCAGATACCAACTAACACTGGACAACCATGTTCCCTAACCCCTGATCTGGCATGAACTATGATGACCTCATTCTACAGATGAGAAAACAAACCAAGGAGGATGAGGAACTGTCTATGGTGCTGTGCTCAGAAGCTGTCAGGACTGAAACTTACACTAAAGGCTGAAGAGCTCTTAAGGCCACACTCCACTGCCCCATGGGCATCCACTGCATTTTACTTTACTTATTTGTTTGGTGTCTGCCTCCATTTGGGGCTGCTGTACCTAATGGGAAGCACCAAGTTTTATTTATTTTTCATGGACCCATTCAGAACCTGGGATTGATCAACAATGTGTGTTAAATTCAAAGTTTTTGACCAAGTAGGTAATATATTCTGTGGGTATTTCTAAGATATTCTTTGACCAAAAGAAAATAGAAAATAAATTATGTTGAGTAAAGAGAATTTAAATAGTTTAGAAAACTGGCACAAACCTGACCCATACTATTGATAGGGATTGGACAGACTTACAAAATGGAAATACTTATATGTCTTTGAATACATGTAAATCCATATGTATGTATCTATATATAGTATGTGTACATCTATGAACTTTTATCAGGTTATCATCTATTGTGAATATGATTTTCCCTAAAGGCAAAGAGAATGATTTTTTTAAAAAATTCTAGTATCTGTGGACTGAGCAAAGCTTTCTTAACATGGAATTCGGATTCTAAATGATGGGGGTTAAGGAGATGGCTCAGCAGTTAAGAGCACAAGCTGCTCTTCCAGAGGTCCTGAGGTTGATTCCCAGAACCCACGTGGCAGCTTACACCATCTGTAACTCTAGTCAAAGGGAATCTAATGCCTCTGCAGGCACCAGGCACGCATATGGCACACAGACATACATGCAGGCAAAATGCCTATACACATATAAATAAATAAATGAACCAATAATTTTTGTTTGTAAACTATAAATGACAGTCAACCCAACATTGGCTCACCTCATCTGGGAACACTGCTTACTGTCCTTACCATAAGACATACCTGTAGTTTGGTCACAAGTTCTCAAAACAGAAATTATACAAACTCAACTACATCAAACCTTAAGGAGGCCGGATTTGAATTAGTTGAGATTCCTTTGGCCACCCACAGTGATGATGAAGATGACTGACTGCAGTACAAGATAAAAGGCTCCAAAGACAGCAAGGCACTGTCCTCATCTGCCGAGTCAGTATGGTACTGCTTTACCGTGGATGCTTCATGATGCTCTTAGCCCTTGCCAAAGCTGGAGCTGGTTCCCAGCGGCAGAGCCCATTCGTCGAGCAGCCTCATCTCACCAAAGGCCATTTATCAAAGAGAAAGCAGGAAGAGGCCACTGGCTGAGGATGGGGGCGATCTCAGGCCTTTGTCATTACCATCATTATTATCTGAACATCGAACTCTACATTGCCTCTTTTCTCTGTGATCTCCCACCCACACCAAATTTTACTCACTGGAAACATTGTGAGAACATTCTCAAGGCACGACTCAGTGACGGAAGCTAACAAGCCATCTGCAGTGGATGAGATCTAAGTCAAGATATTTTAAAGACCTCGAAGAAACATGAAAAACAACCATCAGAGAGATCCATAGTATTATACGAACTACTCTGAAACATACAGCAAGGCACCAGCCAACATACCCCAAAGCATGCCCCTTCAGCATACAAACTCACAGTCAGCAGGTACCAGGCTCCATGTGGAAAACATTCAGATGCCACCAACACCTGATCTAACTGAAGACACATCCAAGTTTAGGGTGCTCCCTGCATCTACCGCTTCCTATCTAGACAAATGGAACTACAAACCATCTTAAAAGTTCAACCACCATGCCACTGCGGAAAGGAGAGACTCTGGATGATCCACTCTTACAGCAGCCAAGGAAGGGAGGAAAGAGAAGGCAGAGAAAAGCCCTGCAAGGACATTCCTCCCATAAAACACATAACTCACAAATACAAAAACAAACATTTCTTCAGAGGCTGGAGAGCTGAGGTTGTCCTTGGCACCTTGGCCATGAAGTCACTGGTGTTTTCTGGGAGGTGGAACAGAGTCTTGGCTGGCTGACTGCTCCACCCTTCCTAATAGGCCAGCTTTAAAGAACTCAGTATTTACACACCACACGAGTTGCAGGACCCAGGAACAACTCGGCTAAATCTAATCTCTACCCTGGCGATAAGCAATTTGCCCTTCAAGTTCTGAAAAGGCAGGCAAAGGATTTTTCTGAGGCTTTGGAATTTTGTTGTTCTGTTCTGTGAGAGCTGTCTCTGTGCCCTGTGTCAGTCACGTGTGCATTCAGATCTGCACTGGTGCAATCAGATCTGCACTAAGGTACTGGTTAAACCACAAGAATCCCAAGACAGAGGGAAACAGCTACTAAAGGGCAAGTCTTGAACCCATGGCAGGATGTCTTCACAAGCTCGGGACCTGTTGCAAGCATTTTACAAGCAGAAATTTTAAAGTGTGCTCCGAAGAAAACTATGTGAACTCAGTGGCTGTGAGAAGGCTAGAGTTGAAAGGGGTTTAACAGACTATCTCTGATTTTTATGATGTAGGTTTGTATGAGGACACTTTCCTTTCTCTGCATCTGGCCCAGAATTGATAGCAGTGAAATAATAGCTGGAACACATTCAATCTGCTTTCTCTAACCTTGACAAATGACAGCAGTAACGAGAAAGAAATGTCACTAAACACTGCTAACATCCTAACAGTTGCCTGCTCTGTTCTGCTGTCCTCTCCTAATGAGGTGGTTTACAAACTGAACTGATTGCTTACTAAGTCATGATGTAAAACCTGAATCTACCAAGTAACTTCCCAAAATGATTCTTCATCTATGCATCTAGTGATTTTTAAATGTTTGAGAAACTCTCAATTAAACGAATCTTACAGGAGGCCTTCCTGTTGTTTGGAAAGGAACCATGATGCTCATTCTTAGGTGTGCCCAGATCTTAGATCCAAGGGTTTCTGAGGGGCTCCTCTGTCTATGGGCAGGGTACTAGCTGCTCAGCATACCATCGCCTCAGTAACTGTCTAGGAATGAATGAACACTTCAAGGGAAACAAGATGTTGGTCATTCTGGAAACATTTTTTGTTTGTTTGTTTGTTTGTTTTTTCAGCAGCCCCCTGATCAGAGTCTATTTTCCTCCTCTTTCCACACAGAAAGAATGGAACTTTCCAGAATAACAAAACCTCTTGGCAATTGCCTGTCTAAAGATTCAGCACAACAAACAACAAAACCTCGCCAGGGGCTAAAATCTCAGATAAAGGCTCCTTCCCTTAAAGGCCACGTTAGCTGGAAAGCTGGTACCTGGGGTTTTAACTGCAGTGTTAAACATGGTCAGCCAGGTATGCGCATGTAATGAGGAGAAAACTACAGCTCAGACAGATCCAAGAGAGGGATTTCCTCAGCTTTGTGAGACACAGTCCACTTGCATTATTGGCTCCACGGTCATTTTTCTAATATTTCTCTCCATCATTGCATAGGTTCCAGATGTCCTGGGGGCATCCAACACCGACTGATGGCCCTAACCCTTAGAGTGGGTAGTAGACAAAATAATCCAGCAAGTGGCTATGTGGAACTAATGAAAAAGAAAGTTCTTTTTATGCACAGTA